TATTGTTGTAGAAAGTTTGACTCAATGTGTTATGGTGACCATCTTTTCTGGTCATTCTAGTATGAGTGCTGTGTTCTTCCTGTACTTGGATTTCGCTTTTCTTTCTCCAAATTGCAAGTTTTCTGTAATTTTCACTAAAAGTCCTTCTAATCCATTTTCTTTCCATGTCTTCAGGAACTCCTGACTCATATGTTGGGTCATTTGAAGTATCCCATAAGTCCCAACACTGTTTTTTAGTTTTCTAATTTCTTCTTCTTTTTTTTCAGTCTGTAAAATTTCCATAGATTTAACTTTTTTTTAAGATTTTGTTTATTTATTTATTTGAATGGCAGAATTACCAGAGCAGATTCAGAGAGAAAGATTGAGAGAGAGAGAGGTTCTCTATCCACTGGTTCACTCTCCAATGGCTACAATGTCTGGAGCTGGTGTGCCAATCCAAACCCCTCCGGGGTGCCCACATGAGTACAGGGCCCAAGACTTGGGCTATCTTCTACGCTTTCCCAGGCCATAGCAGAGAGCTGGATCATAAGTGGAGCAGCTGGACTTGAATCGGTGCCATGGGATGCTGGCACTGCAAGCTGCAGCTTCACCCAGTTGCCACAGTGCTGGACAGATTTGTCTTCTAACTCGGATATTCTTTCTTCTGCCTCACTGAATCTGTTCTTAAGTATTTCCACCTATTTTTTATTTGTTCTATTGAATTCTTCACTTCTATACTTCTCTTTAAAATCTCAATTTCATGGGAAAACTTTCATTCATGTCATGTATGATTTCTTTAGTTCATGAATTTGCTTCTGATTGCTTGAAGTAATCCTATGAATAATTTTTTGAATTCTTTTCTGGCATTTCATCAACTCTCTTCATCTTCACATTCTAGTATTGAAGTATTTTGTTATTTGGGGGCATCATGTTGTCTTCCTCATTCTTTTTTCTTGAATTGCTGCATTTTATTAGCATTTGTGGTGATACTGCTGTTTTTTTCCCCTGTGATGGCTTTTATCTTTGAACAATGCCTGTGTGGCTTAGTGGATTGTCTGCTCTTTTAGTGAATACCCAGGGGTGTGCTTGGTGTGGTCAGGGAGCTTTGTTCAGTGCTCCAGGTGAAGGGAGTGTCCAAAGTGACATCCAAATTTGGTGTGTTATTTTTTTTTATCAGAGGGGAGGTTTGCTCTGCTCTGTTGGCATATTCTCATGCTCACTTCCTCTCCTCAAAAAGATCAATGCCTTGGCGATACCCCAGTGGGTACAAATTTCATCTGCACTGCCACAAGGATCACACAAAGAATACATGCAGTCCTCATGTGAACACAGATCCTGCAGCAATTACACCCTCCCAGGAATCAGGGAGCCCCAAGTATGCGGGTACAGACACACCCTGTACCCTCTCATGCAGCCATCGTGCTTTCACAGTTCTCAGCACACAAGACTCCCACAGTCATGAACACCAGCTCCCAGTCTATTCTTTCAACCAGACTCAAGCTGTCTCCTCTCTGCTGGTTGCTGAGTGCATAGACCAGCCTGGCGCAGCTGTTGTGTACATCCAATATGCGCCTGCCTTCTCTCGTCTGGTTACAGGACGCTGGTGTCAGGTGGTCAGGAGAAAAACATGCATCCTTTTTTCCCCCTCTAGGTTGAAAGGTACACTGTCCCCAACTGGGCTCCAAGCTGGACTCCTGCTGGGCTCTTTCTGCAGCTTTATCACCATGGCTTGAGCTGCTTCAGTCTTGTCTCACCTCACTCCAAAGCTGGCGCTGAGGCTCTCGGCTGTTGGGTGAACTGTACGTCCACACCCTCCATGTTGGTCTACAGGGTCCATCTAACTTGCATAGTTTCCTCTGCTGTTTTTTCCCTAACTCTTCCCTGAATTTGCCTCTCTCTCTCACTTTTTTTTCTTTAACTATTTTCCCCTAGACTAGAGCAGTAAACTCCTCCCCTTCTTCCTCCATCTTCCTGACTCCTCTGTTTTTTTTTTTTTTTATTGTATATTTTTATTTGAAAGTCAGTTTACAGAGAGAGAGAGCTCTCCATCCACTGTTCACTCCCTAAATGGCTGCAACAACGGGAGCTAGACGGTCAAAAGCCAGTAGCTAGGAGCTTCTATGGCTTTGCCCAGTATGCCAAAGCACTAGTCCCCCAGCCCTTGTTTTTAAATGCTCTCTCTGCTGAGCATTAGGAACCATTTCTATATAATAAAGAGACTATTGTTTTACTGGCTTGAACACTTTTCCTTCCTGTGGAAGAAAACATATTAACTTGACAAAAGCCCTTTTTAAAGATTTATTTATTCATTTTAAAGCCAGAGTTACAGAGACAGACATAGAAGATAGATAGAGTTCTTCCATCCCTGATTCACTCTCCAAATAGCTGCAGTGGCCACTGGGCTGATCCGAACCAGGAGCTGGGAGCTTCATCCATGTCTCCAACATGCAGGGCCCAAAGACTGGGCCACACCAGCTGCTTTCCCAGGCACATTAGCTGGGAGCTGGATCAGAAGTAGAGCAGCCAGGACTCAAACTAGTGGCCATATGGCATGCTGATGCTGCAGCCATCGGCCTAACCAGTCACACCACGTGCCAGCCCCCAAACCCACTGTTTTCACAAGTTTAAATTAAAAAGTCTCCATCTCCTCTCCCACCTCTATAGGTTCAATATGGAGCAGATGGAAAGACCATATTGGAAAGAAGGCATTGTAGCTTTGGGCTGAGTCAAATCAGGAGGAACCAGAATAATACATTTTGTTATGAGTTGTGCCCCTTTCATTGGATGTTCCAAAGAAACTATGTACTTTTTTATCCATTTCCATTTTTTAAAACCATTTCCCCTTTTTTTTCTAGGGTTCAGGAAAGCAATAGGGTCCTGAGAATATCTGGGAGGCTCTGTTATTTTAGTTGCAGGTGACTATGTAGGTTCTGATTGGAAAGTAGAGCTGTTGCATATTTTTATGTGTGAAACATCCCAGCAGATGGTGTGGTGTGTAAGAAAGTGAAGAAGTGCTCTGTCTGTGTTGAAGTTCACCAGGTCTACCTGATGGCACTGACATGACCCTTTTGTCGCTTTAGGATTGCTGAGCCTCTTAAGAGTACTTCAAAAGTTTGTGGGAAAATGGAATTAAAAGATAATGCATATTTTCCACAAAGTTTTTGAAGTACCCTTGTGCCTTCCCAAACCCCAAATATTGTATTCAGGTGTCTGACATTCCGTTTGCAGTGACTCATCCCTTTGGCTTTCTTTCCCTGCATTAAATTGTTAGTCTCTTGGTTTGTATAAACACAGAAGTAATTCATGACATAAAACACACGTTATTTGTTGGCTTTGCTTTCTAGTGGTTACAAGAGGCTACTGGAGATGGAAGACGCTTGAAAGTTCATGGGTGAGAATGAGGGAGAGATTGGCTAAGGAGGAGAGGGTACCTGGAAGGAACACAGGGTGAGGAGGCAGGGGCAGCAGGCACACATTCTGCCCACCTTGTGATTCTTGAATGGGACCGATTCTGCCCAGTCAGCACTACTCCAAAACAAAAGAAGGCAAATAACCTGTGTGTGGCTGTTACTTGACCCTAGTGCACTACTTGAATGGTTGAACTGACCGAGACTTAGGAAGCTGCTATTGGGAAGGGTGGTTGGCATTGCCATCAGAAGTGTTTGCTCTAAATCATGACATTCATCTGTGCACAGCCGTCAGAGCATCACTGTTTCCAGAGCACCTTTCGAAACTCAACTGCAGAGGTCAGAAAGCGGTACTGGCTGTTTATACTGCTTCCCCCTCCCTCTGTGAGGTAAGTCAGAGTTCGAGTTATGAAGTATTCAAAGATCATCTTTTTGGGACTGGCATTGTGGTATAGAGAATAAAGCTGCTGCTTGCAACACTGGCATCCCATATAGGCACTGGTTTGTGTCCCGGCTGCTCCACTGCTGATCCAGCTCCCTGATAATGGCCTCAGAAAAGCAATGGAAGGGCCGGCTGTGGCTCACTAGGCTAATCCTCCACCTACGGCACTGGTACTCTGGGTTCTAGTCCTGGTTGGGGCACTGGATTCTGTCCTGGTTGTTCCTCTTCTAGTCCAGCTCTCTGCTGTGGCCCAGGAAGGCAGTGGAAATGGCCCAAGTGCTTGGGCCCTGCACCCATGGGACCAGGAGGAAGCACCTGGCTCCTGGCTTCGGATCAGCGCAGCGCGCTGGCCATAGCGGCCATTGGTGGGGTGAACCACAGAAGGAAGACCTTTCTCCCTTTCTCTCACCATCTAACTCTGCCTGTCAAAAGAAAAGCAATGGAAGATTGACCAAGTGCTTGGGTTCTTGCTGCCCACATGGGAGACCCAGATGTATTCCTGGCTCCTGCCTTGGCGTGACTCATCTTGGGGTAACCGATGGAAGATCTCTCTCTCTCTCTTCTGTCTCCCCCTCTCTTCCTGAAAATGATTTTCAAATAAATAAATCAACCTTTTAAAAAAGATAATCTTGACCAAATTCAATTTTCTTCTTTTCATTCAGAAAACAAACAACTTTTAGACTAAAGACCTCTTGAAGTGGCCCTGTTTCCTCCATGTTTAACTCCTGGCCTCTCACTTCTGCAGGACCTAGCTTTCAACGGGTTGTTTCAAGAGGGAAATGACTCTGGTGACCTCACTGTTGCAAGACAACTGCCTCCAGCATGCTATCAAGCTGCCAGGCTGCTCTGCCTCAGTGGGTTGTTTCTTTTTGGTGTGGGAAATAGTGCCATTTTAGGTCAACTCTTAAATATCCTTGGGAAGTTGCAAAGTCCCTGGGGCATCCAAACTACTGCTGTTGGTGGGAGACCTGGCTGTCGCCTGCATCTCACCTTCAGAATTTTGTCCCAATTACAATGGGCTCTGCAGGTGGCGTCCTGGTTTCTGTTCGGGGTGGAGGACAGGCTGTAGGGATGTCTCTTGCTGCTGCTGAGAGCACGCAGAAGCGTGTTCTGGCCACATTAGCCAGTGACTGGTTCCCCAAATAACTTTGGTTTTCGACACCTGACTTGACTCTGCAAGTGAGCGGGAGGCTGTTTTTCCTGACCGTGTTGCATCTCAGCTGTCGTGTCCTACATGAACATTCAGCCCACAAATTTCTGTTATCTAATCGGGTGCATCAGTCCGTGGTGGAGATGGAGGGGAGGAACGCCCCTCTGACTCAGATTTTGCACAAACAAAACCCAGCCTTGTTAGCAGGGAAGAGAAGAGCACCCAGGGCTGCTGCCATCAGATCTTTCCCCCCGACAATCTGTGGGGCAGCGCACGTGGGTGAAGAGTTTTGCTGGCAAGATAAGCAGTGAGAGGGCCCCGGTTTGGTATGCTAAATAAGATTCAATGTCATATTTACACATGACCTTCAAGGCTCTTACACTCTTGCTTCTTGGTATTCGGGACAGACTGCATTTTCTTTAGTCCGTTACCAACAGCTTGGAAATTCAGTTAGAGGACATAACCCAAATGTTCTCCAAATGTTTGCTTCCAAATGGTCAACCTGAAAGTGCTGTTTTAAGGCACGTAACCTTTCTGCACGCACAGAGGCTGCCGCTCTGCCTACCCAACTGCAGGGAGTTTCCTACAGATTAAAGCCACCGATGACAAGATAGTGCCACACGGCATCCTCTCATTTGTTGACAACAAAAGCACAAGAGGGCCTTTTTTACAAGGCTTCTGGAAGCCTCACTATTGTGTAGAGCACGTTGAACCCCGGCTTGTGTGCTGACACAAACAAATAAACGCGATCATAACGGTTGAAATGTAGTTAGAAACACAATTGAAACACCTGTATTGTAAGCAGAAATAAATTAGAAATACTGAAGTGTTTTGTAGCTGCGTGAAAACGAAGGAATAAAAAATAACCCACACTACCTGGATTAAGCAGTTATAAATAATGTATAAAGCGAAAATCTCATTATCCCCTGTGTAAACCGCCCCCCCCACCCCCATGAAAATCTATTTTATGAACGTAGTAACACTGTAATAACCAAAGCATTTGTTTTTCCCCACAAACTTTCCATTTCATAACTGTAGATTGTTTGGGTTTACAGGTTCGGGCCGAACATCCCTGAGTTAACAGTTTTGGTCTTTTCCTCATGACCTTCAACACCATGATTTCCGTGTAGCTCCACGCGCCACACGCCACTGTTTATCAGAACGTTGCTTTGAACATGCAAAAGTGTCCCCAAATAGACTTGCGTCAAAACATGCAGAGGCCAAGCACAAAGCCCTCAGGCCCCTCAGGGCTCCTCCAAGGACTTGCTGAATGTGTATGTCAACAGCACCTGGGTCCTTTCGGAGTCCAGGCTGCTGCTGAGAGAATTCATTGCACTGCTGATGTCACCCTAAGCGAAGCAGCTTCGGCCAATGAGCAGGCTTTGTCGAGCTGAGCTGTGGGGCTGTTACAGGGAGTCCTAAATGCCCCATTCCCATGCCAGGGGCCGGAAGAACACCCAGCTCACTCACCCCTGCAGCCATCTCCTTCTTACAGTCACTGCTTTTGTTTTCAACCACAAGCTCATGGTTGGGCTCTGGAAACCATGGAACCAGGAGCAGCGTGCTGAAGGGTGAAGCCCGAGTGTGGACTCACACTGGTTAGGAACCCCAGTACTCTTAGGCCAGACAAGTTGAAGAGTATATTTAAGATACACTTCCTGAGACAGGAAGCGAAAGCCCAGAGAGTTGGCTTATTGAAATTTTCTGTATAATTAGGTGCCATCCTATGCCCTGAGCATCTCCGATCCTCAAATATACCTATGAATCTTTCCAGGCTTTAATCAATACATGATGTATTATCCCGATCTGGCCTCATCCTGAACAGTCCTGGAATTAGTTCTAAGTGAACCACAGATATCCCTACTGATAACTGCTGAATCTGAGCCTGCTGCCTGATCAGCTGCTGCTCCACCCGGCTTGTGCTCATGTCCCATTTCTGCTCGGTGCCCTTGGGATAGCTGTGGTGGCTAAGCAGATATGCAGACTGACCCATTTGATTCCCTTCTAGAATGCAGTCACACATGGACTCGTTTTTGTAGCTGTAGTCAGAGACTGATCGCTTCTCCAGGTTTTGATATACAGCTATGGCAGAGGAGGGGAAAGATGCCTGGATTCTCAGTCGAGAGGCTCACTCGTAAATTGCATCTTCTTCCCTCATGACCGGGTGACTTTGGCACAGTGAATCTCTGAACCTCAGTGATCTAGAAAAGGGAGACGCTACTTTTTCAGATGTTATCCTTCGGTGGGACCTAAACAAACACATGCGAATGAAGGGGTTTCATATGGTGTAACACTGAACAGTGTGGTGGTATCATTAACAGGAGATAGCTCTCCTACCTGTGTCACAATGTGGTTGAGGAGCAAATTAACATAAAATACATGAGAAAGGCTTGAGGAGTATGAAGAGCTAAACACTGCAAAGTGCATCACTACACTGGAGTGCAATGGCTTTGGTCATTAACTGTGCTCTCACACCCATTTGCTGGAGTAACACAGGGCTCTGGACCATAATGGAGGGTATAGAAGGCCGACATATGGCGTCAGATGTGACCTTTTCTGCGGCGAGCACCTCAAGCATTTTGAGATCTTTGTTTCATTTCTCTCACTTGTAATATGCAGAAACACCAGTTATCTCCTAGAATGGATGCTGAGAAAACGTAATTGAAAAGGACTCCAAAATAGTTTTTGAAGATGAAGTTATGCGAAGGACATAAATCGTGCATGAACTCTTTCTGCATTGAACAGGCACATCTCCACATACCCTTAGGATCTCAAGCTGATAATGTAGCAACAAGAACCTATTGAATCAGGACAAGGTGATGGTTCTGCTCCTGTAGCAATCTAGGTCTCAGAGTCTGGTAGGCGGGCAGGGCGGAAGGAGCAGATTGCATTTTCAGCAGAAAGGTTAAGCTTGAATGTTTTGGACAGGAGGTGGTTAGATGCATTTTGTAGATGTCCTTGAATTTACCTGATGATGATTTCTGTGTCCTTGAAATAAAGCCCATTCCAGGTTATGAATAAATTTAGCAACTCAAACGAGGTCACTTAAAAATCTTTCACCGGGATGCTCCACTTCCTTTGGTGCCCCCTCTAATTCTCCCCTTCTTCGGTATATTGGCAACCTGTGATCTCACTCTTCTGATTGCTTTCGGCTTAAGAATAGTATAAGGGGTTTTTGAAATGTTTGTAAACTTTTTTAGGACAGTGGTGGAAAGCATAAGGTTCTCAGAAAATCCTTAATGGAAGTTAAGAAATCTGATTGGTTAATGGAGTTTTTTTATAGAAAGTTTTTATTTAATAAATATAAATTTCGTAAGTACAACTTCTGGATTATAGTGGTTCTTGCCCCCATACCTATCCTTCCACCCCCAAACCATCCCACCTCCTCCTCCCTCTCTCATCCCTTCTTCATTAAGATTCATTTTTGATTATCTTTATATGCAGAAGATCAACTCTATGCCAAGAAAAGATTTCAACAATTTGCACCCACACAGACACACAAAGTATAAGTACTGTTTGAATACTAGTTTTACTGTTAATTCTCATAGTACAACTCATTAAGAACAGAGATCCTACATGGGGAGTAGGTGCACAGTGACTCCTCTTGTTGATTTAACAATTGACACTCTTATTTATGATGTCAGTGATCATGGATATATGTTTTTTTTTTTAAGATTTTTGTTTTATTTATTTGAGAGGTAGAATTATAGAAAGTGAGAGGAATGAGACAGAGAGAAAGGTCTTCCTTCTGTTGGTTCACTCCCCAAATGGCCACAATGGCCAGAGCTGCGCTGATC